GAAAATTACCCGGGCATCATTAAACATGAGCCTTCACTCTAAATACTGAGGCAATTCCACAGGATTATATCACCTTAGGGTAAGGAAGGTGTGGTTCTTAAAGGGTTTATCACAAGGATGTATTGGCTAGTTTCAGGAGTAATTGGTCATGAATAGTTCTCAGAAGAGGGAGAAATTGCTCTTCCAATATAGCAGCCAGTGATGGACAATTTGGTTTCATCAAAAAAGGTAGGGAAAAACAACTAGGGGAAGTCAAGTCCTTTATGTCCACAATGAACATTTTTCATCCAACAGAGTTTTTTCCAAACTCATCTTCGAAGTCTGGCCATGGTTGTGGTTTTTGAACAGATGAATTTGGGACTCTTGCTCTTCCCTCCTAAGATTTATGGGTCTTCAAATGTTGCTGTCAAAGCAAAATTATGCCAGATAAAGTTAAACAGGCAAGGAAGACTTTATTTAAATCTATTGCAGTAGTAAATTCAACTATGTTAAAACAGAAGGTAGATGAGTTTTTAAGCCCCTGGTGTGAGCTAGTATGAAGTATTGGAGAACATTAAAGGAGGAGGTTGACCAATGAAATGTGAGCATATTGGATTACTTCTGAGTTGGCAAATGTTTTTCTCTGTAATTAAGCCCTCTGTGTCTGCTAATTGGCACCCAGCAAAGTTAGACTCTTATCTTGGGGAGTGACCGAGCCTGGGGAGATAGGGATGCTATGCCCTTTCATGTTTACATTTCAAAGAGTTGATTTTCACGTCCTTGAGAAATTCAGTCCTGGGTTATAAAACTGGGAGGAATATTTATATACACTTAAAAAGGACAGAGAAAGAATTACCAATCGCAAGTTTTCTCCAAGTAAAAGCTCTGGGAAGGTCAGTGACCTATGGTCAGGAACAAATCCATCCAAAGTTTAGTTAAGCTGATGTAAATATTAAGATTGTCTTGGTCAATGCTCAAAAAAGCTTAACAGATTGGGGTACCTGGGTGGTGCATTCAATTAAGCATCTGACTTTATTCGGACTCAGGTCACGATCTCCATCGTGGGATGGAGCCCCACATCAGGCTCCATACTCAGTGTGTAGTCTCCTTGGGATTCTCTCTCTCCTCCCCCTCTGCACCACCCATCTCAAATAAATAAATAAATCTTAAGAAAATTAAAAACATGTAATGGATTCACACTTATAAATGGAGTTCACTATTTTTACTCACTTCAGGCCAAAGCCAGAAGCATTAAATCCTTTGTAGGGATGTTAGAGACCAGCAAAGGAAACAAAAATTGTGTTTACATTTGTCTTTCAAAATAGAACCTTATAAAACGACTTTAGGCAAAATAGCATGGTGTTGTTCCATTGCAAAAACTTGAGAGGGGAAAGTTTATTTTCCGAATTTCAAGTTTTTCCTAAATGCCATAAAATAGGATAAGTGATCAAAATTCCATAAAAGGGATGCCTGGGTGGCTCAGTAGTTGAGCATCTGCTTTCGGCTCAGGACGTGATCCTGGGAAACTGGGATCAAATCCCACATTGGGCTCCCTGCATGGAGCCTGCTTCTCCCTCTGCCTGTGTCTCTGCCTCTCTCTCTCTCTCTCTCTCTCTCTCTCTCTCTCTCTCTCTGGGTGTCTTATGAGTAAATAAATAAATAAAAGCTTATAAAAATGCCACAAGAACATTTTATCTCATATTAGAAGTTGAAAGTCCTTTTTTCTTGGGGGAGTGGAATTTCAAGCCGTAATTTAGTTGGGATAAAACTAGAGAGAAGAACTTACGCTTTGAATGAGTTCTCAGTGACCATCCCTTACTCTTTTCTGCAAAAATTGAAAAAAATGTAGTTTCCATCAGGAGAGTTCCAATGAGAAAGAATTTCCTTTCCATCAGGAACTCTGGAAGAAGAGAACCTTGAAAAATACTCAGTGGCAACATGTAATGGCTGCAGGAGAGGTAGAATGGCTTGGACAGATGGAGAGAAGGCCCAGGAAAATGCTTTCTGGTTTTCATGAGATAGTTATGGTCTGCAGAAAATTAAAATGTTCTTTTATGCCTCATGGATAAAAGAAAAAGGCTTAGAAAATCTGCATTGTTGACCTGAAATTCCTGAATTTTGGACAAGTGCCCCAAACATGGAGATCTCAAAACCAGGGCATTTGAGATGATTACATACACCAGGAATGGATATCCATACACACCCAAAGGCTGCATTGGACTCATTATATTCCTGGTGGATGTCAACAAGGCTTTGTAGAAAAGTTTAGGGCTAGAGGTATCTGTCAATTACAATTTGTAAGCTTCTCCTAAAGCTTGGGGATATCTAGGAAGAAAGAAAAAAAACATGTACATAGGAAAAAAAATTCAGTGTAAATTGATATTTTAAAAATTGTAACATTGGTAGCATTCTGGAACCAATAGAAAAACAACTAATTAAAATGAAGTCTGTTACTAAATTAGAAATATAATGAACCCTTCATATTTTAAAAAAAGTTAAATAATTATTGATATTCTGGGTATGTGTCTTTAGTTATTTTGTTATTTAAGAGGGAGTTATTTTTAAAAACACGCGATAATCTAAAAATAAAAAGGAATGAAAATGAGCCATGACAAGATACCTGATTCAATTAAATAATAAAATTTTGAAATAAATAATTATGAGTGCCTACTGCCCGCCAGGCTTATAGCTAGGGACAGAACTTACATTATTTTATAACTACCTGTTAGTGTTTTGCTCAAATTTCCCTGACTTTGTACACAATGAGCTGTTAACAATGAATACCATTCATTTTTATTGTCAAAATCATATGCTGCAGTGATTCCAAAATGAAATTACTGCTGAATCATTTTTCGATAATTACAGCATTGAGAGCTGAATTCAAGGGTATGGGACCAATAGACTTGTAAGTGGTAGGGTCCTGAACTAAGGAGGGCCCCATGCCTGGTTTTAAGCTCCGCTGTTGCTATCTTAAAATGATTAAATCTTTTGTCTCAGAAATTCTGGTTTTTAAACATAGTAAGAGAATAGAAGAGGTAAGTGTGTGAGCAGAGGATATTCTCTTACTCACGTATGTGCTCAAGAGGCTGCTCGAGCTCAGGACTCCAGTGAGCCAGTGATTCATAGGAAAGGAGTTCAGCTACACTCAGGTCAAGGACAAGGTAAGTAGGTGAGGTCTATGACTAAGCGTGGGTCCCAACAGCACTGGGAGGCCAGGCTCTTCCCCTGAAATGGATCTCGGTTTTGCTTAAAGAAGACAATGGGGTTCTAAGAAATACCAACAACCAAGGAATCCTGTGGTAGTCTTTCTTACTCATAAATTACTTTGCTGTTTTAACCAACCACTTAAATGATGACACAGAAGGAAGAGAAAACGGAGGGCAGCCCATAATTCCTTTCCTTTCTATTCTTCTGTATCGCAAGCCAAAAGTAGAAGGTGTTGGTTGACTGTGCGTGTATAAAGAACTAAGACAAAAACATTTCAGTTGGCTTGTGTAGTGTTTCCCTGTCCTGCTAAGAATGGAACACACATGCATATACAAGCTATGAGACACAAGCTGTATGATTTTGGGAATTTTGTATATGAGCAAAATGATCTTACATTGCATTTCAAACTGCCATCGTACAAGATAATAATGAACGGTAAGATTCATGTTAATCAAATACTACTTTTTCTTTACTCAGACTGGCATTAAATAGCACATAAAAACATGAGAAGTCTGAGAGACACTGCAGAAAAAAAATGGAAAAACCTCCATGTGTTGGTTCCTTTCATGACATTTTTTTCTGCATTTTGAACAAGCTGCCCCATGTTCTCATTGCTTACTGAGCCCCAGAAATTAGGTAGGTGGGGCTGGCAGGACTCTTTGTTGAAAATCTGATGGCTCTTACAATGTTTTGCTCCTACTGATACCACATTTTGCTGTTGAGATTAGGATTCTGACAAAGCCAACGTTGACAGCAGCAAAAAAGAGAACCCATTCTGAAAAGCTATTTTTTTTTGAAAAGCTATTGTTTAATAACTAAACGTGTCCTTCACTTTGGAAACCAAGGCTGTTTAAAATAGCTCCCCTGAGACCTATTGCAGAGTTTGTTGTCAGTTGTCCTTCTTCCCTGGATTCACACATTCTGACATGTTCAATCTTGAAGCAGGCAAAATAGAGCCAAGGGGGAACAGTGTCCTGTGGTCTGGGAGATGGGTGACACCCAAGCAAATATAAAATAATTTCTCATCGACAATAAAATTATGGAAATCTGGTCTATATAATTCTCAGTAGCAACATAAATATATGTCAAGAATAGACATCCTTGATAGAAACAATGTTGCTATTTATACTGATTTCCATCAAAACAATATTTGAGATGTCCTAAATGATACGCTGCGGTATTACCTTTTACATATTTTTAATAATAGAATCTTTCACTTTTAAAATGTTTCTGAAGCAAATGTGACTGGTATAAAAATCCTTAAAAAAGTGCCTGAACACCAGCTATTACAGAAACTTGAGAATGAGTTTCCCAATGTAAATGGTGTGCATCGCATGTTACCAGAACAAGGTGCTAGCAGAGTCATCAAAATAGAAATAATGCACATCCCAGATGCCTGTTCATTCTGAAGAAGGTGACAGCAATCCTTGTTCATAGGTTCAGACCCTGAGTCTGAAGATTCTGACAAGGGAATTGCCTTCTTGAGCCATTCTGTCCCAAATTTTTAAAAGGGGTCGCGTTCCAATCAGTGTCTCAACACTCCCACAGCCTGTGGTCAGAAGATGGCACAATCATAATCATAATTAGAGGCTCCCTGTTATGATAGCAGGTAAATTTTATAATGCTGGGAGAGAAGAGATAAATAAAATGTCACCAATGGTGTTTATAAAGAAAAGGACGTGAGATGTTTCTGTGCTACATTTTTTGAAAAAGGCAATAGCACGGCATATGCTAGGCAAGCTGCCCAGTACATTCTGCACTGTGCATAAACGATCAGCTTGGCTCTGCTATGACTTAGAGACATGTCAGAGGAGCACAGCTCTAGAGAGCTGGCTCGGGGTAGTGATGTTGACACACATCGCAGGAGGAAGGCTGGATGCAGCAATGGATAGCCGTGTTTAATATAAAACATTGCATCAGATGCTGAGTTTATGGGCTGGCTGCAGAGTAAGTGGTTTCTGTTTCTATATCTAGTAAAGTATCAGGTACTAGTAGAAGAAATATAAGATTTTTCGATGAACCTGTTCACATTGCTTCAATGTGTACTCTACTCTGTTTTCTTTAGTATCTAATGACCTGTGCCATTACAAATAACTTAGTTTGAATTAATTAATATATCATCCAACTATCCAGAATTCTTCTTCTTTTGTTGTTGTTGTTTGTATTAGACGATTGATAAGGTCTTAGATTTATCTACCTATTTATTTTTAATTTGAAAATCACAATCTTAGTCATTTTTAAGTATACAGTTTAGAGTGTTAACTCTACAAATATTGTTATGCAGTAGGTCACTAGAAATTGTCATCTCGCAAAGCTGAAACTCAGTACCTGTTGAACAACTCCTCTTTTCTTCCCACCAACCCCTGGTCCCAGCCCCTGGCAACCACCTTCCACTCTGCTTCTATGAGTTGGACATATACTGAAACCAGACAGTATTTTTCTTTTTGTGACTGACTTATTTAATTTAGCATAATGTCCTCAAATTTCATCTATATTGTAGCATGTGTCAGGCTTTCCTTTCTTATAAGGATGTCCCATTTTCCACTGTATGTATGTACCACATTTTCTTTATTCACTCATTCATGGACCTTTTGGGTTACATCTACCTTTTGGCTACTGTGAGTAAAGTTGCAATGAGCATGGGTGTGCAAATATCTGTTCAAGATACTGTTTTCAACCATTTCAGATATACACTCAGAAGTAAGACTGCAAGACCATATAGCAATTCTATTTTTAATTTTTTGAGGAAACTCTCTATTGTTCTCCTTAGCAACTGCCCCATTTTACCTTCCCACCAGAAGTGCACAATGTTCCAGTTTCTCCACATCCTCACCAATACTTGCTATTTTCTGTTTTTGTGTTTATCTGGTTGGTTTTGGTTTTCTTTTTTATAATGTCTTCCTAATGGTTGTGAGATGATATCACATTTTTATTTGTATTTCTCTAAAGATTACCGCATTAAACATCTTTTTATATGCTTGATGGCCATTTGTATCTCTGCTTTGGAGAAATGTCTATTCAAGTCTTGCTATTTTTAGATTGGGTTATTTGCTCTTGTTGTTGTTGAGTTGTAGGAGTTATTTATGGAGTCAGATATTAGCTCCACACAGTACAAGACTTGCAAGTATTTCCTGCCATTATGTAGGTTGCCTTTCACTCCATTGTTTGTATGTGCAAGGGTTTATTTCTAGGCTCCCTCTTCAGTTCTGTTGGTTTATGTGGCTGTCTTTATCCTAGTACTAAAAACCAAATTCAGGCCTTAGAGGCCAATTTTAATGACCACCCAAAATTAGATAATTACTAAATGTCATCATTGTGAAACTGCAAAGTGATAGCAGTCTGACAGGGGAGTGGATAGAGGAAGAATCACCAAGGAGTCATCTGAACTTTAAACTTGCCCCACAGGTTTTGTGGAGTCTTAAATAATACTTCTACACTTGTCTCCTAGAGCTGTGGTAATACAATACCACAAACTTGGTTGCTTACCACAACAGAAATTTATTCTCACACAGTTCTGAAAGCCAGAAGTCCCAAATCAAGATGTTGGAAGGGCTGGTTCCTTCTGAAAGTTCTGAGGAGGAATCTATTCCATACCTTTCTCCCAGCTTCTGGTGGATGCTTGATAATTCTTGGCTAATAGACACAACACTCCATCCTGTCTCCATCCTTACAGCACTTTCTCTGCATCTGAAATCTCTCTCATAGCATATGGGTCATTGGATTTAGGGCCCACCCCAAATTCAAGATGATCTCATTTTGAGATATTTAATTACACCTGCAAAGACCCTATTTCCAAATAAGGGCACATTCACAGGTAGCAGAGGTCAGGACTCGGACATATTTTTTTGAAGTCACTAAATATACTACTGCCAAAATCATGGCAGAACATGAATCTAAGCATTTAACACAATGTCAGTCCAGAATAAGCGAAACCTCTGATGCTGGCCAACGGAGACTAAAAATCTTGTCTGGACAATTCAGGATGGTGGGAACTCTAATAAAATATAACCCTGATGGAATATGAATTTAGAGTTATTAACCATGTGAGAGGGAAAGAAAGATAATCCTTGACCATAAATAAAAGAAAGATTGTATTTAAAATAGTCAGAAAAAAACACATTCTACTGTCAATTGTGTCCTCTTCCAAATGTCCATTGAGGCAAATCAGGAGAAAAGGGTTCATTCATTTCTTGCTTTTTCTCTTCTTTCATCTCTGTCATTCCCAATCCCTGTTCCCTTTTTCCCTCACCCTCTTTCTCTTTCTTTTAAAATCTTCCTTTTTCACCATTTCCTCTTTTTCCTCATTTTCTTCTTTCCTAATTTCCATGATTGCAATAATAGTTTAAGATTAGGGCTGTGTGATTCAGAACTTGATGACTATTTTCTATGAAAGAACAATATATGATTCTAATAGTTGCTTTTGGTTTTTTTTTTCCCTATTAGAAATAAAATGTTTCAAGATTAGAATCCTCCTGGACAAAATATTGCCATATAGTATCTTACTTCCATCAAAAGAAATGTTATAAAATAAATGTTTTGATCAGATTCTTTCCAATGTATGTGTCTTCAGAGCAATACCATTGTATTTGACCTTAGGCAGTTCATGAATCTGGTCTTTTGTATTTGAATGTATTTTTATTCTAGCTTTAAGCAAGAATATTTTTCCTAAGCCATAAAAGTAGTATATCTTTACTTATTGTTTACCTTGTAGCTATTTATAGATTTATAGTTTAGTGACTCCAGTGTTTTATTCCACAGTTTCTAAGTTTTCATAAATTTAACATCTCATTATTTTAATGAATGGACACAAACTCAAATTTTCCAGTCATATTCTACAAGTTCTGACAAATTTGTTGCAAAGAAATGAAGAAAAAAATAGAATTATGACTTTGACTTTCAGTGACTATATTAAAAATCTTAATCATCAGAATTCCCTCAGAAAATTGAAGACAACACTTCCCAAGTATGTATGCTGCACATAACTTGTTTTGATTATCATGTTAACTAACACTGATTCTGATTAGGAAACGCTTCTGATTAAGAAAGTAATTTGCATCAACTTTCAGACAATAGTCTTAAGCTCATGGAACTTAAACTACTGTAATCACATATTCCCCATTAAGAGCTGGCCTGATAAAAGTGACATGGCCTATTAAATGTGTGTTACATGAGGTGACACACTGAAAGACTGAGATTCAGACAAACAGGATGCACTGTATTTATAACAAATGCTTATTGCTTTAGAAAACGAATTTTATTTCCACTATCCAAAAGCATGTTAAAATTTAAAGCTTTTTTTCCCCAGAATCCCAACTTCTCTTAGCATCTTGACATTTTAATTTATTATGGAAGAAATTAAAAAAAGATTAATACTCTATTTTATACAGTATATTGATAATTTTAAAATTTCACTTTATAATTTGAAAGTGCACCTACCTACTTTAGCTAAGAAAAAGGTCAGCATACGTAAGTGACTTCCAAAGGAACAAAGTAATATTCAGAGTAGTTCCGTCACATAAGTAAGGCATACAGCATAGGGTCAGACATTTTGGTTTAATTGCTTTAATAAAATATAAAGGTCTGCTATTAAATAATTGCCCCATTTCTCAAACTTTTATATCCTATCAGATATATTCATATGTGTAATGATGAAAAGTAATTAAAAGTCTAGAATTTATTCTTCAAGAGTCAATTGAAAGGAACATATTTTAAATAAAGATGTATTTTGACTCATTATTCAGATAGAATACTAGTTTTTACCATGGCTTAAGGTACATTACTCCTCTTTATATAATCATTAAAGAAATAAAGAAAAGATTTTCTCTGTGAAAGAGTATTGAAAGTTAGGCTATATTATGTCAGCACGATGCTTTTCTCTAAAATATGCGGTCCTGGTTATCCTGGAAAATAAATACTCAGAATAAATGTATCCAACTAGATGAACTACTGACCAGTTCTACTGCAAAAATTCCTATATATCTTTGCTTATTATTAATTTTATTATTTTCATCCTTGCTGTCTAAGTGAACACTCAACTGTCACAGTCTCTGTTAACAAAATAAAGGTGAGTAGATTGAAATACAAGCAGAGATTTGTGCTACACAAATTGGCTTCTATAATAATGATGTTTTCTCTTCCATTGGAATTAACTGTTGCCCTTTTTAGGTATAACCAGATACTTTCACTGTGTAGAGAAAATGCTTATGGAAAAAAATTGTCAAAATTTGGTAATTTGGTGAGTTTCTCCTGGTTAATTCATCTCTGTAGGGCACCCCAGCAATTTTACATTTCCTGGCACATAACAGATGACCCACAAATGTTTCCAAGTTTGTGAGAGCTATGTTTTGCAAAATATGTTCCCTCCCACTCCATACCTGAGACCAGGAAAATAAAATTAACACTTGACTAATATGATTAATTTTTTATTGGACTCAAGCAACAGTTCCTGGTATGCAGTGAAATAACAATTCACCAAAGAAAATAAATCTTAAAATTCATGCAACCACACCACTTTGCTTTTCCCTGACATTGAAGTAAAATTATTTATTAGCTATTCTAATTAATCCTCTAAAAACTGAAATTAACCATCACCCTACTCTAATCTCTGCAGACTATGAAAACACATCAAAAGGTAAAGAGATGCTAAACTCAAGCTGCAAACATTTATTCCTCCAAATAAGTGATTATATATTTAAAATCAGCTAAGGAAATAAAATGAAGGATGCATCCTAAAACACAGGAGTTCTCTTGTGAAATTGAATTTCAGTGATATAAAAGCTAATGAGATTTGCAATGACTCCCCTGCCATTTTAGTGATGCCTCAATGACATGGAAATATTAAGGTGGAAAAACATTGGGGTATAATTAGGAAACATTTTCATTTTAAGAGGGCCACTAAAAATAAAGAGGAATATTATTAGTAGTGTAATGATACACAGAATACATTT